GTTTATTCTTAGTTAACCACGAACTTTAAACATAAAGAGAGGTATTGTTCGACACGTTTACTACTAACATCAACACGAGTGTGATCACAAATAGACTATACTATCATAAACCAACGTTAGAAAATTTTAAGATTATATTCCCTATTATTTTGACAACTTTTTATTACACAGATTGAAACCATGAGTCAATTGAAGCTAGACCACCATGGAAAACTTGGTAGCACTGGACGCCGCTTGGCGCGAGACTGATAGCTCCTGGGTTCGAATCTCGCGGCTGGCGGGATCGTGGATGCGCACTGCTAAGGAGTCCCATACTAGGACGAAACGGCCGTCCAGTGCTTCTAGGTTATCCATGGTGGTCTAGCTAAAATTGACTCATGATTTCAATCTGTGAAATTTCTAAAATCTCCACAAACCCCTTCTGATAACTTTTTATTAGTTATCGTTTTTTTTTATAACTGTCAAATTGTTCAGTATGCTTTCTGTGCCTTGACCAATAGATAAGCTAGTGTTATATCAGTTTACAAGTAATAACTTTTCATGGATAATTTCTTTTTCGTGTTCATACCATCCACGTAGAAAATTTATTTTACTTCACTTAATAATTTCTTCCAGTATTACTAATTTAATAATAAGTAAACAAGTCAATTGAATACATAATACTGTTTTCTTTTTAATATTTATTTAGACAACGAAATGTATTGACAAACTGTTGTTTTTTTAAACTACTTAATTATTGAAAACAAAATTTGTACACCGAAATAGTTTTTCTTTCCGTTCTTCTTCTTCTTCTTCTTCTTCTTCTTCCTCTTCCTCTTCATTTTGTTATTATTTTGAATATTCGGTGAAATTTTTCAATTTGCATATTAAATTGATATTTAATCGAAAAACTAACTAACTAATATACACAAAATAAGACAATTTGTCATTAATATAAACTACTCATTTAGTCGTTTATAATAGTGTGTATGTCTATCATTGATCAATGAATAATAAATGACTAATTTTATCTGTGTTCATTTTCATAATTCAAAATAAGACAGAATAAAAATTGGTTTATTTGTTTGTTTTACTACAACAGTTGACTATAAAACTTATTGAATAGTGGTGGCATAAAGTTAAATTTCCTACTTTGAGCTATGGATTTATGTAAATGTCGAAATTGTGTTTTATGATAAATAGACATACATACACAACCACGCATACACTCTTTACACGTAACTAGCGTAGTTTTTTATTCCTATCTTTTTCTTTATTTTAAACTATATCAATTGTCATGTGCAACATCATTACTACATTAGTCCAGATAAATAATAACATTGAATGATTCATGATCTCAATCAAAACTCAACAATCTCCACAGCCACATACTGATAATTATCATGTGCTCACTAGTGACTAGCTTCGAGAAGCAATTCTCTGACTTCTAATTAAGAGCTGTGACCAATGAAGTCCATCCGTGTCAAGTGTGAGACAATTACCCACCGAATACAATGGAACATGGTGACGAAATATCGTGGATTGGTTGAAGTTAGATATTAACACCGCTGGGTTTCGGCTCAGTGGTTTAGAGGTTAAACGTTCGCGCTCGAAACCGAAGGTTCTGGGTTCAAATCATGCGCGCGGGGTCGTGGATGGGCAGTTGCATTACTTGATGGAATGTGGTTAGCATTGTGTTTCAGAACAGGTGTTTCAGTCAAGTATATCAACGAGATAATACAAATAATTCAAAATTGGACCCGATTATATTTCTTGCTCTTACATTTGCTTTACTGTTAGTAGATATATATTATTTTTTTAAAGGTCATGTTATGCTTGGTGTTATTATTATTATTATTATTATTAATTATGAGTATGAATATATAGGAATATATATCATACCTGTTGATATACTTTTCATGACTAAAGTGAGTAGCCGATATGGTCTCCGGTGAATGCTGACTACTCTTGTAAGTGCTTAGTGGGGATTCTTTTATTTACGTTAGACAACTGTTGAAAACCAAGAAGCACCGAACAAATATTTTTTCTCAGTACAGAGCTGTTCAACAGTATCCATCCACGATCGTATTATATATCACACGCAGGACCTTCAAATCTTGGTGTGATCTAACTTTTAAAGTATTAGGACGAGATAGCTATTCAGTGCTACTACTGGAAGAAAGCCAATCATTTTAAATATTCATCAATCACACCATAGATCCAAGCATATAATCAGGCAAATAATGACGATCAATTAAAACAACTGAACAGAATGCTTGACTTTTACTAATACTGTCAAGTAATTGTAAAGATAACAGAGACAATTACATTTGACTATGAAAGGTCATAAATACAATAGTCTAATCAAGTCATTCAATAGCTAAGATTACTATTGATAAGTTGCCATTGAGGTTGGCCAGAGGAGTAGAAGCGGTTGAAGGTATTTCTTTTGCACGTATAGCTCCGGTTTCTAAATCCGAATCCATACTGCTTTAGCCATCTGAAGGACTTTAAGTCTGAGAAGCTTTGGCAAAAAATTACTGACTCGATGAATAATTGCAAAGGATTGTTTTTTAGTGGCACTATGACCAGTTTGCACTCAATGGGTCAGTATGGAGCTGTTCACTTTCTTCACCAGACCTTTGCTTAGACATGCTGGGAGGTGTTCCTAGAACTTCGACCAATATAGCTTGCTCCTCAGGAGCAGTCGGACTGATAAGTAAAAAATGAGGTGGTCATTGTACGATATACTTTGCCCTTACCCTGGGTATTTTTCAGACTATTAATTTAGATATATGATTTTTAAACCTGAAAAGAATTTATCGCAACGAATGTTCTTCGTTCAAATATTAGTCTTTTAAAATTAAGTTACATAATTGAGTAAATCAAGAAAAAAGCCGCCACGCATAGTTTGTTATTTTCCATCATAATTGTTATTGTTATTGTTTCTTTCTCGTATTCTCACAAAATACATTATTCGTCTGGATTTTACACACTTCATCTGTCAAGCATACAGACTAAGCGTTAATAGCATTTATATTAATAATAATAGATGTTAAGGGAATAGAATGAATATAGCAATTATTATGAGCATACAACTTATTCCAAGTGGCGCTTCAGATTAATAATTGAGTGATTTCTCTCTCTTATCGTTAACCAGAAGAGAAAATACAAACAGGCAAAATAGAACAAAATCATTTTCACATTTACATTCATTCTGTTAGCTTTTGCATATACACATACAATTGTTGTTGTCGTTTCTAAGATCTGATAATCCATATTAGATTTACAATGAACAGCATGCTATTGATTTGTATTCTCTAATGTATATTCATGCACTGTTGTAGTTGTTTTGGGAAGTATGGTGTTAAATGAGAAGCTCAAACTCATGAAATTCACACAATGGAATGGGTAATACAATCATTAAGTGATTAGAAGTGTAACATCCTGTTTATTCAAAGTTTTCATTTATTGTCTAACTATTATCATTGGTTGATGAAATTTCCTTCAAAAGTGAATAATTTTCATGTAACGACCTTACCTTCATGATAAAATTGTCCTTATATATTATTTGATTGGGATGATTATTTTTAATAATAATAATAATAATAATCTACGTCTGATTGCATACGGTACAACACTCACAGCATTAAATGTGCTGAGTTACAACCTTTCTAATGTGGTTTTGTTTACTGCATTGGATAATGTATTGTTAAGTTAATTTAAATTTTTAATTTAACAAGTGAAATGACTTCTCTCCAGTTCTCTGCTTTCAGATGCCATTTTGTAAACGGAGCCATCAGCTCATCAACTTCATATTTGTATGTCTAAATATAGAGCAGAAATTGTAACTATTGAATTTGTTGACTCCATTTACTATCAATCAATATTAGAGAAGTGAAAAAATTTATGATTTTCAAAACAATTAAACAAGTTACTGATAAGTAGTTTAGCACAAACTGTAGATGATAGTTATTTCATAAGTTTTTTTTCAACAAATTAAAATATAACAGTAAAAGGTTTTATCATCATCCTTATACTCATGAATAGTAACATCAATGATTAGACTTGATATAGTTATTCATTATTCATCATCCAATAGTAAACATCAATAAAGATTCACTAGTTGTTATAATGAATTTTATCATTCAAAATAAGAAGAGTCAAAATAACAATTCATTAATCAAGAAAAAGAAAAGAAAACAGACTTAACAATAAATATAATTATTCATTTAAATCTAACTAAATTGATCTCATTAATCATAATTGACTAAAACTTTTTTTAAACAAAAAACCACATTTCCCCTGAAGAAGAAATAATAGCGAAATAAATAATCATTATATAAATGCATTGTTTGATAAATATTTTTCTCAGAAGGGGTTTTGTGGAGATTCTAGCAATTTTTTTAATAGTTGAAATCACGAGTCAATTGGAGCTAGACCATCATGGAGAACCTAGAGGCACTGGGTTCGAACCTCTCGGGAGGGTCCCATACTAGGACGAAACGGCCGCTCAGTGCTTCCAGGTTATCCATGGTGGTCTAGCTTCAATTGACTCATGATTTCAATTGAATTTGTTATGTTAAAGTTTCAAATGGTCACTTTTAATAGGTAATCTCATGGCTAATTAATTCTGATTTTAATATCTGTCAAGAAATTGTTGAAGGTTATGTACTAAAATTACTGTCCCATTTTAATGCCTACGATTATTAATTTTTCTTTGGATTGTTAACCATAAAGAAATTAATTTCTTATTTCATGTTAACATTTAGAGCATTTCTTTTCAATGTAGTTATTCACATATTTACTGAAATGTCACTATTAATCATAAACTCTATTTGATTTAATCTTCTTGTTCTTCTTACGATTACGATAAGCATTATCGACTTGGGAATCTATTTGTATCTTTTTTTACTATAATTTCAGTTGCTAGAGTAAATTCATGTTTCTAAGTGTGTTTTTTTGTGATAAACTATTGTATTGGTATTTATTTATTTATTTATTTTCTGAAAATTTCTCAGCACAAACTGAAAATCAAGAAGCATTCAATAAGTATTGGTCAAGACATTTTCAGGAATTTGAACGTATACTCATCGTGAATTTATTAAGTTCTGGACGTAAACATCGTGAAACTATATTAACCGATGCATTTTTACGTCATATTCTATTATCGAAAAATGAACAATTAGCTTATATAGGCTTTGATTTTCATGATTTTTGGTAAGTTATTTTATTTTTGTACGTAAATAGTTTTAATGTGCAATATATCTATTTTTATGTATGGATATATGTGTCTATCTAAGTTATAAGAAACATGAAAAACTGTGTTTTTAAGTTATCTCTGCCTACACTCCAATACCCTGCTGCTAAATAACAACCAGTGGCTTTCTAGGGCTTATTGAATGATCTTTTAAATCAATAGTTTTCGAGGGATATTCTAATGTGTTAACTGTGATTTTAGTATGTAGGCTGAGTTTTAGTGACAGATGCAAGATATTCGAGTACTCACTAGTGTTTTTTTATACGCCAGATTGAGTAACAAATCTCTTCTTCGGTGTCACATTATACTCTAACTTATGATTAACCAACACTATCTAGAAAAACAATCATCATTATTGTATTACTAGGTTTTTTCTTCCTATTCTTGAGGTCGAGATTTAAAACCGATTGTATTACAAACACTTAGCAATTCCAATTCTCTAATTTCAACAAATGTTCCTTAATTTTGATCAAGCTTAAAAGTATGGCCAACTGATTAATGTGATCTAATATATCCCATTTAATCACTGCAACCAATTGTGAATTGAGATTTCTTTCACACTAGCCATCAATGTACCTATAATTAGAAATGAAAGTTTGGATCCAATAAGAAGTCACATTCATTTTTAGAGATCCTCGATACTTTGAGGGATGCAATGTTCTTAAATATTGGGTTTTTGTGCACTTGCAAATTTTGATCACTATTTTTTTCTGAAAGAATATGAGGACAATAGTATATGACGTTATCTCAGACTATTAATGATTAGGGTTTTTTCCACCGACAGTTAATTTCCAATTGTCTTTGGGAACCTAAAAGCATAGAATAAGATGTGTAATTTTTTATTGCAGGCTGGTACTCCAGATAAGTAATAATGATACTTAGTTTTCAAGTAACAATAATTTTAATTTATTCAATAAACTGTTAACTAATTTATATGGTTAATGGTATAGGGGTTTTGTTGAGCCTTGCGGAGCTTTCTTTATTTTCCCCTTCTTTTTCTCCTGCATTTTCTTTGTTCACATACTTTATTACTTGTTTTACTTTACGACTCTACTTTTTTTCATGAATTTTCTTCTCTGTGTTGTAATGTTTGTCATTGTATGCAGTTATGTGCCTGTAAGAAGTAGTAGTTCATATAAAATTCTAGTGAATAACTGTAGTCGGTGTAGTTTAGTCGTGTTGGGTATGAGACAGTTGTCTGCCTCAGGCAATAAATAAAGCTTAAATAATATTTCTAATTGATTGCAGTTAGACATGAACACCCTCGGATCCTAGTCCTGTATTAATCTAGAGGTTAAGCATTCGAGTGCGAGGCCGAACGTCGCGAGTTTAATTCTTAACTGCAGGGTTGTAGATCCGTTCCTGTGAGGAGTCACTTAATACGATAAATCGGCCATCCAGTGTTTCCAAGTTTTCGTTGGTTCGTGATATAAACTATGAAAATCAAATAGAATTGTATAGAGAAAAGCAAGCATTGTTTATCACTGTAACCATTATCACTTACGGATTGTTCTTTTGTGTTTAGTCCTTGAACAAGTTATTTGTTTTCTTCATAAATAGATATATATATATATATATATATATATATATATATATATATATATATACATCATACATTAATTTGTTTAGCAAATGGGAAATTTTGTAAAATGTTAAGTATAATGTAACTATTTTCCTATAGGAAACCAAAGAAAAAACAACTTACATTCTAACACTATAATTTATCAGATTGCATACAATAATGACTTTTGACAAATAGTTTGATTTTCAATATTATAAGATGGATAGGTTAAAACTGTGACAGAGAAGGGTATCAATTATCCCATGGTTCCTTAATTTTTGGAAACTAAACTAATTCTTAACTGTTGACAATTAACTGACTGTTATTTAATATATAAAACTGGAAAAACCGCTTGGTAAACTAGAAGTCATCACTTTTTATCATGTATTTCTGCTTTAATTTAATATTTTTTTAGTAAATCGATCAAGTTCGACTTAAAAACGTATATTGATTTTATTAGATAATATGCCTGATTACTCAATATCATCAGTTGACCATTATATTCTTATCTAACTATCAGGTTTTTGTAAAGTTCCACATCACATTTGTCAATATTCCTTTGTATTCAATAACATTTTATATGAAATTAATTGTTGATGAAAACGACTTTCAATCGAATTAAAGATATATATATACAGTGAATATCCATCATGAGTTTGTATGTTTGTATCTTCTCTACATATGGGTGTTCTACAATGAGTTTATTTAGCGTTTCTCTAGATACAAAACAAACTTAATGATTATATATATGAGAAAGTTTATACAACTGAAACTTGTGTTAATTTTATTTCGGTTATTTATTTACTCAGAAGAAGTGACTGACATTAAGTCACGAAACGTCAGAAATACAATTTTCTATTCATTAGGATATCACAAATAGTATATTTATTATTAACTTTTTAAATCCGATACTCAATTTATTTGAAATTATCAAGTTCTAATTTTGGGATTTTAGGAAACCTAATTATTGACGTTAAAAAAAATCTCAGTTAAATCATCCAATTAATTTTTATACATAATTAGATATACCTTTTTAACTAGTCGATGAGAATAGAGAAAAAATTATTATCACTTATTCATTTGTTGATTTTACATTGAAATGGTATACATAGACGTTATTAATTTATCGGAGCTTGCTTTTCGTGATTGATAATGAAGGTTAAGTTGTACTGGTATTTCTAAAGAAATTACTGACTACTCAGTTAGCTTGATTTAACAGATTGATGAATCGATTTTAAGTTGATTGATTGAATCGATTGATGATGATCATTTAATAGTACAAATTGAATTATGTCATTTGGACTATTGTATTTCAATGGAGAATAGTCACCTCCATAGATTTTTTTATTGTATCCATGTAGTTGCTGCATTTGATCCCGTTCGTAATTTTTATGTCGATGCATTTTATTTTACATTGATCATACCTTAGTGACTGTATGTGATGGTATAATACTCAATTTTTTCCAGTACAAAAAGTATTTTATTCACATCAGGTTGTAATTATTAATAAATATGTATTATCTTTTAAGTATGCTTATAGAACGTTTTGAGGTTAAATCGTCGGTATACTCGCTTAAGTACCTTGTGTAAAAGAACAGTAAGAGATTTACATTCCAGATGTTGGATGTTGATTATCTGGTTGACCAGATTTTTAATACGAGGTAAGATTCAAGATTTTCTAAGTATTGCAAAATATTTGGTTAACACTTTCGTTTGAAATTATGTGAACAGTTTCGCAATAGCTGGACGTCAAATGTATGTGAGGTGTTCAAAAGTAAATTAGATTTGTAAGAATCTCAAAGATCGAAATCAAAAATCACTCCAGTATCCCAGCCCATCAGTCGCAGTTAATTATATTAAGGGAGATGATCAAAATTATAGGAAATAAAGGGAAGACCTCTAGTTGTTTAGCTCTGGTTAGTAAATCCTAGTGTCGTCTCTGTTACTACAGTCGCAGTAGCATAATTTCTAATTTATATTTCTTCATGACCTTTACTATTCACCAAATGACTGTTATCACTTTTAGTTTTTTTTTATTTTCCCGTGTCCATAGATCGTGTTCTGTCGCTATACACATAGATCTGTTCTTCTTTACTTTTGACTTCGCTAATTGTCAAGCCTTTTCTGCACTTCTGTTATCTTCTTAGGTTCCATCATTTCAAGATTATCGTTGAGTCGTATTTCAACTATTATGTCATCCAGTTCGCTCTAATTCCCTGTTTCGTATTATGAGAATCTCGTTCCTTGGTAAATAAAAATTACAGTAGGCCCAAATGATCCAGTCTTAAAACACAACACGTTTACAAAACTTCTGTGTACTGAACAACTGACCAATTACATCGTAATACTTTTTACAGGAAGTCTCATAAAAATATTCCTAAAATTTACCGTCTTGTTTATAACTTTATATCATTACATGAGATAAATGGTTTCAGTGAAACACTGAAGTCACCATCATATAATTATGAAAACTCGTAGAAAACGTTTTTTGCATTAAGTAAGGTGTTAGTAATTCAATTTCAATAGTTTATTTACATACAATTGAATTCCATTCCAATGTTTAATTTCAAAATTGTTGAGTCACAGTGCAGCTATAGTGTATACTAATCATATTGACAGATATAAGTAGTATGCAGTATTAATCGGAAGTAGAAGATCTAACATCAGGAGATTGAAGAGAAGAGAACAGAAAGGAAAACAGAGAGCACAAAGAGCAAGAATGAAGAAGTATGTACAGGACAACTGAAGGAAAATGTGCAAACAATTTATAGTTTTTATTATATTTTATAAAGACACTGTATAGCTTTGCATGAAATAATATATCGGTTATCCCCACCAAGTCTTCGTTCACTACACAACAACTGTTTGTACTATTATAACTTTTTTAATATAAAAAGGATTAAAAAGAAGAATATATTTGTAAAATCTCAGCGAATGAATTTTAAGTAAATCCAACGTTTCGCCTGGCAATCTGGTCCAAGCTTTTTCAAGGAAAATATAATCAAACAACAAAATTATCGAATATAAATAGGTACATGGTTCTTCGGTTTACTGTATACTGAATAAGTCATCCAATCAACTTGAAGGATTTTTATAAATAGGTATTTGTACTAATGTGTAAGAGACATGTTTATATGAAAAATAATAAAGGTCAAACAAATAAGATAAAAGTTCATTTGAAAATAATCAAGGGGAGAGAAAAAATAAGAAATTGTCATGTTATCCTAGGCCATAGAATGACTTAAGGATTATAAGGTAAATTCAAGGTTATGACAAATTGTTTTTTATGTGTTATGGAACCAAAACGTGTTAAGATAACAGAATGTGTTTATACGCAAGTGATATGAGAAAAATTTCATTCAACTTAATATTGACTACGGTCTGTGTATATTAAGAAAA